GCTGCTCCCCAGCTCCGGGGAGGGTTCCCATCCCCTCTGTTTGGAACAAAACCRCGTTTGCACTTGAGAGAGCAGCTCCCTGCCCGAGTCCATCAGCGCTGGCAGGTGTGAGCTCCACTTCCATTAGAATAATGGCAAAAAGGGCCTGCCTGGGAATCAAGGAGCACTCGCTGTTTCCTCCTACCAGGCATCTCATCCCCGGCAAGTTTAACATCTTCTGATCAGCTGCTTTCCTCTCTGCTGGCTCCRAGCACAGCGGGAAACCCTTCTCTTGTGCAATTTGCTGCTGAACTGGCCTCGTTCTTTTATTTGGGGAAAAATAAAATGATAAAACCCACAAGCCCAAGCCTGAAAGTGATTTTTTTAAAAGTGTGAGGTTCTTGGCAGTGAGATGTGGAGTTCAGCTCTGTGGGGACAGTTTGGGGAGGAGATATCACAGCTCACACCCCCATTTTGGCAACTCAGGGCTCCTCACACCCTCTGTGGCCTTGGGAAAAACCTTTTGTGCCCAGAAAAAGAGATTTATATCCTTTTTATAAGAACAACAGGGCAACTCAGAGGTTCAGAGCCATCAATCTGCTGCCCAGCCCAAATTTGGGGAGTGATGGAATCATCTGTGAGTCTAAAGAGCTCTTTTTGTGGCAAAGATTGGTGCTACCAACAGAAAACCATCCCTGGAATATATTGCTCTAAATTTCCCTTTAAATAAAGGTATCAGTTACAAAGATCATCCAAATCATTCAGGAGAAACCCCAGAGAGCGCGACTGAACTCCCCATGCTGGAGAGAATTGCTTCTGAATCAAAATAAATAATAAAATAATAAATAAATAAATAACCCCAGCAGCCTTGCTGGGTAGAAAATATCCCATGAAGGATTGCAAGTGCATCTGGAGCAATTACAGAGAGCAGCATCGGGCCAGGGTGGGCAATCAGGAGGGGCAATAATTAACTGGGAAGGGCTAAAACAGCCTCTGCTTTCTGCTGTGGTACAGGGCCATTGCTTTGGAAAGAAAAGAGAAATTATGGACACTGAGAAAGAGAAATTATAGTGACAGAAGCGAGGTTTGGGGCATTTCTGGCCTCATTCCATGGCCCTTTCACTGCTCCTCAGCACCAGCAAGGCACAGCCGTGCTCTTATCACCACCAAGATTTTATTGCTGTTCTTTGGGCAAACTTTTAATATCTGCTGCAAGCAGGAAAAAAAAAATCCTTAGAAGGAGTTCAGGGAATTAATTTTCTCGCCTTGGAAAAGACTCTAATATGCCAAACGGTTTTGCTGAGGCCTTTCTTTTGTTGAAGTCTTTGTTTTCCAGCCCCAGCAGGATTTCTCCCAGGGGAGATGAGTGGGGCTGTTCTCTGCTCCTTTTGGCTGAGCACCGTTGTGTTCTGCTCCAGAARATGCTGGAAAATGCCAGAGGACATGAGCCCGTTCTGACATTGAAAACYAACAGGGAAAAATCAACAACCACCATGAAAGGAAGAGACAAAACCAGAGAAAAGGTGGGATTCATCTAAAATCTGGTGACACTACTGGAAAATGGGGTTTTTGAGGTGATTCTGGGGGTTTGGGAGCAGCTCATGGAGCTTTGTGCTGCATCTCCTTGGCCCCACGGAATCATTCATGCTGGAAAGGCCTCCAAGATCATATTTTCCAATCTTTTTAGAGCCAGGACAGCGAGGAAGCCCAGACTCTGGAATTCACCTGGAAAATCTGGCCCAGGCCTTGGCCTCACTGTTTGCAGGCAGAGAGGGAAATCTCAAATCGTGCCTAAAACAAAAGCATGGATTTGGGAATTTTGGAGACTCAGACAGCTGGAGGATGAGTCTGGCTGCAAAAGCAGCTTTTTGCTGATGGGTTAAACCTGTCGGTGAGCTTTTACAGCCCCCAGCAGCTCCTCCTCCCCAAACAGCCCCTGCAATGTCACCCACAGGGTGACAGCTTTCCCTCGAGGCTCTGGGGTATAAATTCCTGTTCCCAGCCCTGTCAGGCTGGCTGGGTGAAGAAGAGCATCTCAGTCAGTCTCCTCATGGAAAACTTCCCTTTGCTTTTATTTTCTTTTTTTTTTTTTTTAATTAAGAAGGAGGTAGGATTGGCTGTGATTTTCCCTGCTATCTCTGAATCATGTTCCAGTCCCCACTATTTCACTGTCTGTAATCTTCCCCAGTGGTTCTGGCCTCGGCTTTGAAGTGATTTAGGGCTTGTTTATCACAAAGGCAATCAGAATGTTCCTTCCCAGACACCCTGAAAGTGCCAGCAAGTCGAGCATTCCCTGTGACAGGGGCTCAGACACAAAAACACAGCCAAACAGGTCCCAGGCACTGCTGAGCCCTGGAAATCACCACCTGCATCATCTGAGCTGCCAGCCAGCTCCAGGTTCAATGTAAACACCAGGCAGGAATGTGACCCGGAGCATCTGCCACCGGCTGGGCACAGCACAGGCTCGGTTAATGCCGCAGGAAATCGCCAGGCGCAATCATTCCACCCCAAATCTGCATCCCAAGGGCTGCTCAGGGTCACTTTGGCACCCAGGCTGCAGCTGCAGGAGCGGGGTCCCTGCTGCCACCCCATCCCTGGCACGGAGCACAGCCCTGGGTGCTGGGTGACACATGGCACTGCCACCCCTCCTGCTGTCCCCATTCCCATCCAGCCCATGCTGTGGGGTTGGCACTGGGGCCATTCCCAGGGCCAAATCCTCACATTCTGTGCCATCATCATAGCAGGGAGCTGGCGACACATGGGCACTGCCACCCCTCTCACTGTCCCCACTCCCATCCAGCCCACGCTGTGGGATCAGCATTGGGGCCCTCCCCAGGGCCAAACCCTCACATTCTGTGCCGTTATCACAATGATTCCCTGGCAGGGAGCACAGCCCTGGGTGCTGGGTGACACATGGCACTGCCACCCCTCTCACTGTCTCTACTCCCATCTAGCCCACACTGGGGGGTCGCATTTGGGGCCATCCCCAGCTCTGTTTTGGGTCAAACCCTCAATTTTCTGCAGTTATCACAATGATTCCCTGGCAGGGAGCACAGTCCTCCAGATGGGTGCTGGTGACACACGGGCTGTCCCCTCTCACTGTCCCCATTCCCATCCAGCCCACGCTGTGGGGTTGGCATTGGGGCCATCCCCAGGATCAAACCCTCACATTCTGTGCTGTTATCACAATGATTTCCTTGCAGGGAGCACAGCCCACAGCTCGAAGGGAGGCAGAGGCAGCAGCTCAGCTCTTTAATATCACAGAACCGTCCCCGTTCCGTGCCATGCCATCGTCTCACGCCGTGGGCACACCACGGTGGCTCCATCCCACTCCCCAGAGCTCCTCACAGCCACTCCCGTGCCAAATCCCTCTGCAGGACCCACAGCACCTGCTTTGCCATCTCACTGGGGGATTTTTTTCCCCTGCAAACTCGCAGAATAACGTCAGATCCAAATCCCTTTTGTTTTTGACCGGAGCTGTCCCGGGGGAGGGAGGTGTTCGAGAGAGATGTACATATTTGTTTGGACTGGCRCTGACTGCCCATTTCTTGGCACAGACGAGCTCCCAGCTCATAACCTGTCTTGTTCAATCAGATTTGCAGCTCCTGGGTTTCCCTCTGCAGCTTTGTACAGTTTCCAGCTGGTGATTTGACAGAGCTCTCTGAACTCACACTCGGAGCGGCGCAGAGATTCTCTGTGTTGCTGTTAGCACTCGGAGACACGATTACATCTCTGCCTAATGTCAGYTGGGGCTTTTCTGCCTTTTTTCACACTGCCTGAATAAAAAAAAAATCATCTTTGTGGCTGCACTATTAAATACATATTAACAGGGTTTGTTATGAAACATTGGATGCAGTGACAGGCTGAGGTTTTGACGTGGTTTTGTCCCAGGTGAGGTTTGCAGCCTTTTACAGCGGGTTCAGAAAGGTTTGTGGAGCAGATGGAAAGCAGAAACAGCCATCAGCATATTTGAATTCTGCTGATTTATTTCCCCTCCGTGTGCAGTATTAACAGCCCACAATATCAGCCATGTCCCTGCACAGCCAGGGCTCCAGAGGCACCTTTGGCCACCAAACCCTGGGCCAGGCAGGACACAGCCCCTGCCCTGTGCTGAGCCTGTCCCTGAGCCTGTCCCCTCTCAGCCGGGGGGTCTGATTTACCCCAAATCATCCGGCCTGAGGAGCCTCCCCAGGGAAGCAGCTGAAC